TCCATTTTTTAAATGGAAGCTTGCCTTTGAAACAATTTTTATTATCATTGAAAAATAAAAATAATAAAGTATTGTATGTTTTTAAAACAATAATATAAAGTTTTGAGCTATGTTATTTAAGCTATAAATTACAGAAATATTATATCGAGGTATTGTGATGTCAGCACAATCGATTGTGCGTATTCTCGAGACTCGATTTATCTCGCGATTTCATTTGCTAGTTCGTATAGTTTGGATATAACATTTTGTAATTGAAGATAGAAATATATCAAATAATAAATATTTGTTTAAAAAATTAACATGCGACCAACAACTGATGATGATCCTTACGCGCACGTAGCGAAAGGACCATTAAAACTAAAAAATGATCAAAGCGTGAGTAAAAAGTATGTATTTGACAAGTCCTACTTTTAGGTTAAGTTTTGATTACATTACATTGATGGTTACAAATAGTTCAAAATTCACGTATAATATTCGCGAGTAATAGTTATTTTTTTTTTTTTTTAATAGAAAAAAGAACAAAGAAGGTAAAAAGAAAAAGCTGGTGGAAGTGACGAAAATTGCAGAAGAAGAAAAATTGAAAACGGTAGAAATCAAAAAAACAAAAGCTGAGATAGCGTTTCAGAAAATGCAAGAAAAAATGGTAAACAATTGTCTAATTAACAGTCTCATATTGTAAGAGTATTTTATTTAGCTCCATAATAATATTTGCAGCAAACTGAACGTATAAAACAAAAGGCCTCAATGACACACAAACAACGAGTAGAAGAGTTTAATAGACATTTAGATAGCTTAACAGAACACTTTGATATACCAAAAGTGAGCTGGACGAAATAGATTCTTCATGTTTTGTGTAATGTAACCATGAATATATTTGATCTTGTATAAGTTTGTGCTTTATTATAAATGTACATAAAAAAAGATATTAATTATTATTAAACATCAAATCTTTATAAAAAGTAGTAATACTTATAAAATGGATGGAATTTTCTCTTTGAAGCTTATTACTATTTGTTTAATTAATATGAGAATAATTCTTAAGGCACATTTTTAATGCACTTAATATTGTAACATGTATGTAATACGTATATATATAAAACGTTATATATTACAATGTATAAGTTTTTTTTATAATATATAAACTTTACAATAAATAAGTGCATTATGCATTTGTATATAATTATTCAAGTCTAATAAAATATATGTACATGGACGGAAACGTGGACGAAATGAATGTAAAAAGTAAAAAAATGCTATTAGCTAAAACCTTAAGTTTAGCGAAAATAGTCAAATTATCATGATAAAAATATTAATATACTATGTTTCGATCAACAATATATAAACTATACCAATTATTAAAAATAAGGCCGGATTTAAAAACGAGGTTTTCATACTTCCATTAGGATAATGGAATATATTTATATAATTTTCAGTTACGATCCAAGGATTACTTCCATCATCGAAATACATGGGACATTGATCACGTTCTCTTTCATATTCCTAAATTTGATCATAAAATATATATAGAATTACACATAATACATTAAATAAGCTTATAAAAGCTATCTACATTACCTGTAACTCTAACGCAACGGCTGCACCTTCTGTATAATTACTGCTCGTAACATCTTGTTTAAGATCACAGAATGGTCCAATAGCCTGAGACATAAGAACTTTATTTAAATCTGCTCTTTGATATACCCAACAACGATATTTACTGAAAGGATCTAATTCATCATAGGTTATTAAATATGACTTTAGATTTTCCTTCCAAAATCCAATACATTTCATTTTGTAATCCGGTAAACCTATATTTAAAAAAAAAAATGTAGAACATATCATTTTATTTAACTCTGTTATAGTGATTTAAACTTACTATAAATATCTACAGGTCTTCCTAAATGATCTACTGATAAACAATAGGTTTCATCAATAGCAATTTCCTTTTGATCAGTATCGCATACAGAGAAGTCCGAAATGTTTTGTTTGCAATAAATATTTGGACGTGGAGATTTTGTAACACCTCCCAAAATTCTGGTTTCAAATAAAACATCTCCTTTTTGAGTAAACATGTATTTGCCAGCCACTGGACAGCGTACTGGAGCGGGAATCTTAGCTAAAGGCACAAGAGATATTGATAGAAAAATTTAACTGACTTTACATATATGGAGAAAGTAATTTATACAGTATTTTATACTGACCTAGTAACAGATCATATTTCCAAGCTTCCTTGTTAGGAAACTGAACCCAAGAACAGACTGTGTGAAAATCATCTTTGATAACGGCGACACCACGTCGATATCTGATAATCTCATGATGCCGAGGTACAAAATCAAAACATACATAATCCTTTTGGCTAAAAATAGATGAATTAATTATTGAAATATAATGTATATTAATAAAAACATAAGAAATGAAAAATCATGTCAATATTAAAACATAAAAAGTCTATACCATCCATCAACAGTTAATCTAGCCATCATCACTCTGGTATCTCTCGATTCGCGACAAACATAAATCGTACGTCTATAACGACCTTCATCCGGGTACCAAGTTTCAATTATATGCGTTTCATTGATAAAAATATCTGCATCGATATTAGCAGTATTTATCCATTGTCCACTCATATCTTCTGGTAATCTGCATCCTGGCTCTACTACTTCTGCTTTAACAGGTGTTACTCTTAAACGTTCTGGACTCTTTTCAACTGTCTTCAATGTGTTACATTCTGCAGTAATAGATACACCAATAAAGAGGTCGTCATCACGATTCTTCAGAAAACATCGGTATTTTTCGTCTTTTCTAGATTCTTTCGTATTTGCAACAGCGAAAAAATGATTCTTATCTACAAACCAATCTCCCAAACAACTATATTCCACGACTGAAATATAAAAAAGTATCAATTAAAATGAAATATTATACGAATTTTATAATAAATTGTTAAAATAATATAAAACAGATTACCTCCCTCAAAGGTATTCTTCATGCCAGCGCATTGTTTGTATGTTATATTGAATTTTTGATTAGTTATTAAAAATTGTGTTCCTGCAGTCTGACACGATCTAATTTGTGCATCAGGGTGATTGCATTCTCCTGTAAATCTAAATCGATTCTGTAATAATAAAAAACAGAATAAAATTTTGTTATGTATAATTAGTACTTTAATGTATTATTAACTGTATAATACCTGATAAGCAAATTGCCAAACACCTTCAAGAGAAGATCTGCAATTTACGGGAACATAATTTTCGGAAAATAATGTTATTAATTGCTGATCAGGACGTAAACCTTTACATACATTTTCCACATTTGGCTCAATGTCAACGGGCAAATTCACACAATACGCTAAAACATAAGAGTAATGATATTAATCTATTCTATATAAATTTTCTACATAAATTTGTTATAATTATTTTACCTTCAAGTTTCTCTAATACATTCACAGTTCTAACAATTAATTTAACACAGTGGTAACATGCTTCATTTTGAAACACAAATGTATAATTAACATGATATTCTTCTACCATATCAACACATTTGCCACGATCAGTCATTGTTTCAGCATTTACTTCTGTTAATGTATTTCTCCCATTTTCCCAAGAGAACCAAGATCCTCTAACAACTAACGGAATTTGACAAGATCCTTGGATGGAATGGATAACTAAAAAATTTTTATATTGAATTTTATATTGAATAAAGATACATCAAATTGCATTTACATAATGCAAAGTATTTTTTTTAACTATTTATTTTTTGTTTAACTACTTATTTTTTTATTTATTTTAACAATATGTATCTTTTATTACATTCACTTTTTAACTTAGAGAAAATTTTAAATAAAGTTCCTCTCTTTTAAATAGAAAATTAAAAACAGAATTTTGTATATATCTAGATAACAAGTGATTGCATTTATACATTTACAAATCGCTGAAGCTTACCTTGACATGTAAAATATAAACTAAATAAAAATAAATATAATTGCTTTATCATCTTCTCATTAAATTATATTCAATAATTTTGATGAAGGAAAAAAATTTATTTTAATATATGATTCTCACAATGTATAAAAGAATTACCCTCAATGCCCAACCCACTTGTGAGTTGTGAGTTATATTTATACCTATGCTGCCCTCTGTAAATGAGTCTACTCTGAGTAATCAGACTCTAATGAGTCTATAACTGTATATTTTTTGCAAAGTGAAACTTTGTTTGCATTTTTATGATATTTTTATATATTTTAATAGTTAATAATTTTAACTATTTATGTATAACAATTGAATTAGTAATTTAATTATTTTATATTTTCAAACATAGTTTCAATTCATTACAATCAAATTATTTTCTATATTTCTAAAGATTATTTAGCTTGTTTATAACAATTAAACTTAATTTAAAATTTAATTTCTTCTACATTCCTCGTCTGAGCTTGTATCATTTTACTTGGTATAATTCTCCATTCATCGTTGCTTTAGAGTGTGCTAAAAAACCAGTGATTTTTTCCTGATTGGTATTTCAAACCCCGAGACCTATCTAATATCTGGTCTATCCTATCCTTAGTCAATATTCAAATTAACCCCATGTCACTCCACTTATTTATTAAAATTAAGCACCTGTTTGTTTTTAAAACAATTATCGAACAACTTTATTTTTGTAGATACAATAAAATTGAATATAAACTAAGAAGAATAATTCGTATTGAAATTTAATTTATTAAAATTAAGATGCTTTCCATGTATAATGAGATATTTTTTTGAAGTTTTAAATATTAAGCCATAAATAAACGTCTTTGTTTTTATAAGGTATATTACATTTAATATAAGATCTGTTTGTAATACAAGATAGTAATGAATTTACAAAAAACATTATCTACAACAAAATTTATCTCATTCGATATTTATAATTAAAATATATATTAATAAAAATTTATAAAACTGAGTGTTTAACATAAAGTTATTGAAAAAATAATGTTTATCCATAATGTAATTTTTTTTTTATATAGAATGATTTATCTGAATAATTTTTCGTATGTCTAAACAATTGCACAAAGAGAACACTTCTTCGTTAATTGTACAAAATTCTTTGTTTTATAATTAATTTCTAGTATTTTAAGACCGATTCATCAAATCATATCAAATAATCGTATTGCGAAATGTCAATACGTTCAATTTTATTGTAAAAACATAAACTGTATAAATTCAATTATTACTAATAGTGTATTCTTAAGAATAATGGCAAAAACAGAAGTTGTTGAAAGTTGGGAACCATTACGACTGACACATATTAAACCATCATTTAATATTGAAGAATCAGCTTTGGCAGCACGTCAAGATTTATGGCACAAGTTCATTTTGTTTAATGTAGGACAATACAGTGCAACGGAAATATTACGAACTGTTATTGTTGCTTGTGATCCTGAAATTATATTGCCTGTTATGTACAAAAAAGAAAAACCTAACAAAAGTACATTCCTTACAAAATGTAGCTCCAGTGCTATTGAAAATCTTGTAAAGCAAGGTTTATGTATAACTTTATCAAATGGACAAGAATTACGTATTGATATCATATTAGGATATACAGATTCTCAAAGTTTACAATTGAATCCTAATAGAATTATAGCACAGGCACTTTATTATAGGTATGAGCCTACAAAAAAAGTATTGAACCTTGATGACTTTGAAAATGAAAAATCATTAAACTCCATATGTTGTCCCATATCTTTGCCTAAAGTATTACATTTTGTTTTAAGATGTACTAAAATGGGTATTTTAAGCAATAATCGTGACTCACGATTACCTATTAGAGAACTGAGTTTAAGATACAATGAAATTACAAGCATTGTCTTTTTCGAGAAGTTCTTCAATTATCATTTAACCAAATTAGATTTACGTCACAATCAAATTGCAGATGTAGAATACTTACGCTATTTCAGTGAGTTTAAGATAAGTGAACTTTGGTTAGATGGAAATCCATTGTGTACAAAATACAGCAAGTGTCAAGATTATGTACAAGCAGTAAAGAATGTTTTTCCTCATTTACAAAAACTGGATGGGATTGTAATAGGTATGGAGCAGAAGTTTGTTCCTAGTATCCAAAGCAATTTTCTAAAAGATGGTACAAATACTTGTCTGATCAAACAGTTTGTGAAGCATTATTTCACATTATATGATCAAGATGATAGGCAAGTGATAAATGGTTTATATGATAGAGATGCACTTTATTCTATGAGCCTAGGACCTGTTTCAAATTATATTCACAAACAATTAACTAAAACGTTTGTTACAAACAGAAATTTATTGAAATTCGTTGATTATGCGAAGTGTCAAGAATTTTTATTACGTGGCCCAGAAAAAATTATTTCTGCACTCAGGAATCAACCACCTACTATACATCACTTTAAAACATTCCATGTAGATTTATTATATGAAGGAGAGATCCACCTTGCAATTTCTGTGCAAGGTATGTTTTCATTTCGAGATATTCATCAATATCCACCAATGTTTTTCAATAGAACTTTTATAATTATGAAGAAAGAAGATAATGAATATTGTATTACTAATGATCAGTGTTATTTGGATGGAACACCTGCTAATGGTACTTTGCTAGGAAACAGTGAAATGAAGTTTGAATCAAAAGGTGTCCCAAAATTTATTCCAACAGTGTTTAGTGTTTCTGAGAAAGAACAACTACTTACATTTTTACATGAATTAACTACAATGAATATGAAATTTTGTCATCAATATCTTGAAGATGCCAACTGGAATATTAGAACTGCTATTGCAACATTTATGAATATGTACACAGTTAACAACGTGCCACCTGAAGCTTTTATATAATATATATTTTGTAGTCTATTATATATCTATATAATGTTAATGTAATTATTTGTAATATACCTGTAGTATAATAAGAAACAATTATAAATTTAGCTATCTAAAATAATTAATTTTATCTTTTATAAATACAAAATTTTTTTGGTAATATTATTTTAATAAAATGTACTGCTATCTGGAAAGATAAAATAAATGCCATAACTGTTTTTCTATAAAAATTTTTTTATTTTAATTTATACAAAATTACAATTTTCATAATATTAACAACCTTGCTGTGTATTTAATAGAGCAATTGTTTTATTTATATACGGTATAGTATTCACATTTGAATTTACTCCTAATTCAAATACTTTTTGCATTAGTGGTAAAGCATGTTCTGAAATAAAATATAATTTATTAAAATTGTAATGCATATTATTAAAATAACTTAGAAATTGAAATAAAAAGGAAATATACCTTGCATACATAATACAATTTCTGGTAATTTTTCTAGAGCTGACATTAATATATCAGCTCTAGAACTGTCCAAGCATCTTTGAAATGCGGATAAGATATTTGCATTTGAAGCAGGACGATGTTTTAATGCTCTTGCTAGTAATGTATGCGCAAGAGATCTTATATTACTTTGTGGAGATACAAGCAATTCCGCTATATTGTCTGTTATAGATTCCAAAACCGATGGTTTTCGTGATGATAAGTGCTCGATTTCTTGAAGAGCACTAAATACATCTAAATATTAAATATTCTTTATATATTCTAACATTATAACGAAATTTCAGCTGAAGTCATAACATAGTTTACAATCATACCTTCACCTTGCAGTTTAGATAATGTAGTTAGCAATGATGGCCAGTGCTGTGGAATAATAGATTCTGGAGGTGGAGTAGGAGGAACAGTAATTAAAATCTCCTCTATATCTTCTCCTTCTCTTGGCATTGGAATGCCTGATACGAGCGTTCTAAGTGTAACTAAATTTGGATAGTGTACCTGTAATTCACTATATGTAAGTGTAAGCTGATATCTGAAATTCATTAGAAGAAATTACAAGCATTACTTACTGTAGAGCCTGAGCATGCTTCTGCAAATATTTCAATGCTCTTTGTGCATCATAAGAGATGTATGCCTGTAGTAATGTAATAAATCTATTTAAGAGTGGTATGAGATCTTTTACAGGGCCATAATTCTGAAAATTAAATTCATTAGTAATCTTTAATTTAATTTATATTAATTAATATACAAATATTCGTTTACACACTTGGAAACATTGAAAATAATTCTCTAATGTATCTTCCAAAGCAGTCTGATGTTCTTCGCTAAACAAATGTGGTTGTAATAACTCTAGTAATCCCATTATTTGTATAAAAAGATTTAAATGATGTCCTGTTCTAAATTGACTAAAATCCAAATAAGATCTTCCCATTAATGACGACGCTAACATTGGAAGCTGTCGCAAAACTAAAATAGGATGCACAGCAGCCATTTTTCGAGCACATAATTCGAAATCTTGAGACCTGGAATTCCATGACTTTTGTCTCGGTGTTGCTGCTAAGGCAGTTAACAAAGAATGACTCATACAATCCAAAACAGAACCCGTCCATTCTGTAATCTTTGCTCCTCCGACAAATTTTTTAGTTTGAAATGTATCTAAATAACATATTACTTTAGGTATTTTCATGTACATGTGTAACAAAAACTGATGGACCATATCAGAATCAACGCTAAAAGATAAAAGATAAAACTATTTAAATATTCTTTATATAAAAAAAACTTAACGCTATTAAATTAAACATACTTTGAGTCGTTCATCATACGTTCAGCCAAATATTTTACAACGCTAGCAACTAAATGATCGTCTGTAGAAATACAGTGCAATAATAAATCAAGACGTGAATCCATTCGAGCAAGCGCAATATTTCTACTCTGACAATTATATATAATAACAGCTTCTGCAACTATATATGCTACGAGCGTTAATAATTGTTTCTCATGTAAAAGCAAGATATTTTCTGGAACATAATGTTTTGGCGTGAATTTATCTCTGCCTTGCCAGAGTTTTGGATTGCAAGTTAATGCCCACAAGAAATCTAAAACAGCCGTTGGATCATACCTATAAAAATAATATTTCATTATGTGTATATATATTTTTTTAAATTATGTATATTTTTTAAATTATTTTTTATTTACCCATCATCGCATTTATCTAATAAATGTCCAACACATTTATACAAGGTTGCCCAGCTTGCCCTATGTGTCAATAAAGTTAACAAATAAGGTCTAAACGAATGCGAGCTCATAACGTTATTATCAACTTTCATTTGTATCTTCGTTTTTCCAAATAAAAGCTTCATTTGAAGAATCGGACATGTCCCAATTAATTCTGGCTCAACAGATGCTAACCAGTCAATTAGTAAACCGGTTCGTGGCTTTAAAATACCTTCGTTACTGTCGTTCACTAATAATCTTGCCATTGCTTCAACAAGAATATCAGTTTTCTGTTGCTTCAAACAAATGTCTAATAATTTACGTCCAACTGCTTCTAAATTCACTGGATCTGTACTTTCCAGTATAGATCCAGGATCTCGATTTTGCATCAACATTGTTAATTCCATGCTCTTTGGCGTTTTGGTTAAT